CACCCCCCCCCCCCAATGTCTTGGAACATGTCTGAACAGGTTGTTTAAAATAACTATGCCATCTCATAGTCCAAGTTATTAATTTTAGCTCAAAAGCAGTTGAGGGGCCTTTGGTACTGTCACTCCATTCTCCAATCATTACACTCATTTGCCAAACTGAAAATGACCCAGTTATCCCAATTCTCTGGTTTTTAATCAACTGAACAGCAGAAAATCCAATTGAAGTCATCCTTAACTGAATCACCCTTTTCATACATCAATGGTGCATTGCATTAGGAAAACACTTATCCAAAATTCAAAGGTGGCTTTCAGAGTAATTTATAAAGTAGGTTTGAAATCATCATTGACCATGTTATTTCCCCAGCAAGTGTCTTACAAGAACACTTGTAGTTGACCTTTGGTTGTACTTCTTGTCAGTAGTTAAATATCCACTGATACTAGGCTAGATGCCTCAACTACTACATGAGCGTAAACAAGATATATTTCCATATACTTTGGCCATAATTACAGGACATTTCACTAACAAATTACAATACTTTGCATTGAGCAGGTGTGGCTGAATGCAGTAATTTGTTTGAGAGCAGCTCAGCAGCATTCGGATGTGTATATTCATGTAGGTCGCAGCAAGAGCTTGAGGCAGTTCCCTATTGTCGAGCAAATAAATATTACTTGCTCTTAGATGTTACGATTGCAATCCTCATACTAGTGTAGTTAGCGCCATGTAGTCTGAACAAAAAGATAGATTGCATTGTTGGACTTTGAGGTTATTGTTAGTGTGTTTGAAGAATTTTTTTTCCCCCTCAATCCATTTAACAAAAAGGATTTTATTGCAGGACTAAGTATTATTGAGGATGTGATGAGCTCAGTAACAGGTAGGAAATTAGTGATCGAAACTGATTAGAACAAACTGTAAATGACGAGATAGTAGGAACTGCAGATGCTGGAAAATCCGAGACAACAAGGTGCAAGGCTGGATGAACACAGCAGGCCAAGCAGCAGCATAGGAGCAGAGAGGCTGACGTTTCGGGCCTAGACCCTTCTTCAGAAAAGGGGGAGGGGAAGGGGGTTCTGAAATAAATAGGGAGAGAGTGGGAGGCGGATAGAAGATGGATAGAGGAGAGGAAACAAACAGGTCGAAGAGGCGGGGATGGAGCCAGTAAAGGTGAGTGTAGGTGGGGAGCTACTTTTCCCTGCAACCGCAGGAAGTGCTACCCCTGCCCCCATACCTTCTCCCTCACCCCCATCCCAGGCCCCAAGAAGACTTTCCACATCAAGCAGATATTCACCTGCACATCTGCCAATGTGGTATACTGCATCCGCTGTACCCGGTGTGGCCTCCTCTACATCGGGGAAACCAAGCGGAGGCTCGGGGACCGCTTTGCAGAACACCTACAACTCGGTTCGCAATAAACAACTGCACCTCCCAGTCGCGAACCATTTCAACTCCCCCTCCCATTCCTCAGACGACATGTCCATCCTGGGCCTCCTGCAGTGCCACAACGATGCCACCCGAAGGTTGCAGGAACAGCAACTCATATTCCGCTTGGGAACCCTGCAGCCCAATGGTATCAATGTGGATTTCACAAGTTTCAAAATCTCCCCTCCCCCTACTGCATCCCAAAACCAGTCCAGCTCGTCCCTGCCTCCCTAACCTGTTCTTCCTCCCACCTATCCCCTCCTCCCACCTCAAGCTGCACCTCCATCTCCTACCGACCAACCTCATCCCGCCCCCTTGACCTGTCCGTCCTCCCTGGACTGACCTATCCCCTCCCTAACTCCCCACCTACACTCACCTTTACTGGCTCCATCCCCGCCTCTTCGACCTTTGTTTCCTCTCCACCTATCCTCTCCTCTATCCATCTTCTATCCGCCTCCCACTCTCTCCCTATTTATTTCAGAACCCCATTCCCCTCCCCCTTTTCTGATGAAGGGTCTAGGCCCGAAACATCAGCCTCTCTGCTCCTATGATGCTGCTTGGCCTGCTGTGTTCATCCAGCCCTGCACCTTGTTGTCTTGTAAATGACAAGGACTGGCAGTAATACTTGGCAGCTGCATTTGTTGTGAATTTATCCTCTGAAATATTGATATGTTAATAATTAATGCTGTTCAATGTATTTTGACAAAGTGCACAATTTGAAAAGCAGTACTGTAATGATGGAAAGAAGTTGTTTAGACTTGGTTTACAAGCACAGATAGAATTAATTGCTTTTCCAGTGCATTATTCCGATTTTTGCACAATGGCCTGACAACCATTACATGTAGCATTTTTATTTGTGTTTCTTCTGCACACGTGTATACACTTCTGAGCGAATCAAGGGTCCCTGTAACTGCTGAGAATATTTTTTTAAAAGCATGTATTAATTTTACATGGACTGTTTTCTATTAAATACCTGGTTTCAGAAATCAGAAATGTCGTGTTTATCACCAGTTAATGGGAAAAATGTGCCAGGACAATAAGAGAATTATAGAAGAAGGGGAAGAGGGAAACAAAAACAACTAGTTTGTGATTTGCTGACCTGACTGGAAATATCTGTGTTTTGTTCTTAAAATGTATATTACTGTTGTTAATATCCATCTGCTTTGTTTATTCTTAGCACGCAAACAAGAAATTATTAAAGTTACCGAGCAACTGATTGAAGCCATTAACAATGGAGATTTTGAAGCCTACACGTATGTATTTGTTTGTTTCCATTGTCCATTTTGAGTTGATTCATCCTATTTCATCCTATTCTAGGATGTACGGTCTGAATTTTTGTACAGAATTGATGTTAATTCATACAACACTCAGGGTTTTTTTTTTACTATGTATTCCTTCAATCACATAACTTCAAGAAAATTATCCTGGAAATGTTCAGTTTGATCCAGAACTAATGATTGTAATGACCAGCAACTCAGTGTGGGGAACCTGGTTTCATAGCAGGATCTTAAGTGTTAGCTCTCCTGCTCAGATTTGATCTTTGTTGTACGTCTGTATGACACCAGTTTTCACACACAGGAAGGGAAAGGAGTACTGTAATTGGAGCCAAGCATCAGTTTACTATATATGCAGTCACGGCTCAGATAGTTGATGGATTGAAGTCACAGGCTGGAGATCCACAGGAACATTCCTTTGCTGTCATAGTGCTGGAATCCTGGAGGTGATCAGTCTTGGGGGAGATAGAGGCCTGTATCTTTGTTCTGTCTAGTTATAGGGAAGAGGTTCTTTCCTGCCTGGGACAAAGAGGGCCCAAGGCTTTCTTGAGGCTTGGTCCACAAGCAATGTCAAGTAATAGTTTTTTTTCCCACCTTTATGTCATGCCCAGCTGTCTCATTCCCGGAAGGATTAGGCAGTCACTGCTTCCCTGGGGAAGCCTGCTGGAAAGAGTAAGTTAGTATCGGCAGGGAGAGGAAGTGACAGGCCTCATCTTAATTGTCTCCCCAGCTCAGCATCCCCTCATGTCTCTGACAACCTTGAATAGCTACCCTGGCAAGTTCCTGCAACTGATAAGGGAGCCTAATTTTGTTGACCCATCATAATCCGACTGTTTTATTTGAACTTTGATCTCTACTCCCTATAATTCCTTTGTTTCAACATTTCCCTGTCAAATCAATAGCTTAATAATCTACTACTTAGCCATTCCAAAGTCAACCTCCAGGACATGCCTGTGATTAGTTCTTGATGAGTAGCCCTTCATTTTGATTATTCTTGACATCCTTTACTTATTGATAAAATAAGAACCTTATAGCATAGCACAGTAAGTGGTTAGGAAGGCAAATGAAGCAAGACAAAGTGGAGCTCAGTCCACAATTTGGTCTTGATCGTATAGAATAGTGTGGCAGGCTTGAGAGGCACTCCTGCTGCTATTTCTTATGTTCTTACACTGAGACACCAAAATCTACAGGCAGTTGCATTCAGATTACATTTTAGATTCAGAGACTAACTCGAAAAGTACTAAATTTAAATTCACAGACCCATAATCAAGACCTAACTGACATCTCTGTGTCACAGTATTGATACATTGAGGTGACTTATTTTTCCATGGACCTGTATTGTATATCATACCAAAAGATTCCATAACCTGTCCAAAAAGAGTGACATCTTGCCTGTAAAAATACTTTGTACTATGTACGAATCTATAATCGTGCACGTAAATGTGCAAGTATATAAAGTAGGCGCCAAAATCTTCAATATCTGGATTTTTGGAGATTGGCAGTATTTGGAGATGGGCATCAGGATCCACAACCATCTGATGGTGTACATGTATGTGGAAATTGTTTGGGAAGTGCAAGGCTTCAATGGGCTGATTCCTGCAAAAGTCTCTTCCATTGATTTCAATGTCAGAGACTTGAGCCAAACATGCAGACTTAACTGGGTGCTTAATGCCTGGTCTAATTTGGCAGTTAGTCAGCCAAATCACTGCACCTCATCGCCCTCCACCCCCAACCCCCTGCTGACCCAACTACCCAGTACCTGACACCACCCTTCAACAAATCTGATTCGTCCATTCCGTTTATCCACCCTCTATCCAGTCACCCATCTATTCACCCACTCACTAATCTACTCATTTACTCAGGCTCGAGACCTTTAAAACCAGCTTACTTGAATGCAGCAGTTACTGTATTTGAAAAGGGGGGCATATTCTATCTTCAACCATCTTTTACACGCAGTGGTCTTAGCCCATGAGTGTCTACAGTGACCCCGCAAAGCTTCAGCCGAGGGGAATATTTCAGGAAAATCAGTTTTCCGAAACCTTTGCAGGCAGCAACAATGCGTGTGCAGTCATTGTCTGATCGGAATACCTGGAACCCATATTCGGTTTTCACTGTGTTGGGTTGATAGAAACCAGGCTTAGTGTTGAACAAAGCAACTGAGAACTGGGCACCATTGAGTGTAAAATATTGTTTAATAGATTGAATTTCATGTTTCAATAAGTTTTCCTCTCATTCTTCTAAACTCCAACGAACACAGGCCCAACCTACTGAAAGCCTGCTCATAAGATAGTCCCTTCAAACTATTAGAAAGGTTTTAACCAAGTGAACCTTTTTGCTTTCTCTATTACATATATGGCTGGGAAGTGATCTATTTAAGTTGCTTAAAATAATTTTTTTTAAAGTCAAATGCTAAGTGCGAAATAACTGTCTGCTCTGCAGGAATCCAGAAGAAGTGACATAATCTTAAAATTTATGTTAGGTCAGTTAGAAATGAAATAAGGAAGTACCTTTTCACATTGTTACTGGAAATATATAATTCATTCTTCCAAAAGGCTGTGTGTGTAGTGTCAATGAATTTATCAGGATTGAATTGATAATGTTCGAAATGTGTGCCAAGTGACATGAAACCAAGATGGGTAAAGATAGTTCAAGCATGATCTAATTACATTGTGAAACAGTTTTAAGGGGCTGAATGGTCTCTTCTCCCTGTATGTTCCCAACCCATTTAATACGTTAAGCTCAAAATGGTCCTTCCTTGAAAGGAGCAAACCTAGAAACCTTGACAATGGAATGCACGTAAAGATCGGTTCACCATTGAGACCATGCTTGGGTACTCTATGGATCCACATACCTTCATGTCATCCCTTTAGTTTAATATTTGTTTTCTTTGATTTTCTACCCAAGGTATATTAGCTTGCAACCATACCTGACGCATATCTGATCATTCAGTTATATTTAGTTTTGCAAAGCTCAACATGTTTACTTTGATATTAGACTAACTGGTCTGTCAGTGTTCTCAATCCTATGGCACAATTTGCACAGATAAAGAAACTTCAAAAATTGTGTCCAGAGTCACTGTTATCTTGGTTGGATTTGTTTCAAAATTTTGGGATGCTTTTTATTCAGGTTTGGTAAATTGTGTCCTGTTTTATCATCATCATCTTATGTTCTGCTTATTTCCTGTTCTATGTTATCTATAATAATTGTTCAATGTGCTTCTCTTATGCTGCCTTTATTCGAAATACACTGTAGTTTGGATTTTACTTAAAACTGAGCACAGATCCTTACTTAAGGGAGATGGGGAAGTTTCTTACAAGTGCTGGGTTCACAATAGAGATGTACATGTAAAACTGGTTTGTAACTTCATAGAAATGTGCAAGTACAGAACTGAAAAGAAATACATCATTATCAGCATCACTCTAATTTAAACTAGATGAAGCCAATGGTGACAAAATATTTTTCGTTGGGATATAATTAAACATTTTCAATGCAGGAACAACATTTAACTTTTAGTAATTTTGGATTAACAGCAAAATCTTTAGAGAAGTACAATACATATCCTTCTTACTTGTAGAATTACTAAATTAAAGTTACAGATTCACTCAGGTGTTTTGCACATAGATTTGCACTATCTAAAACTAATTAATTATATTCTACAGCATGGCTACTCTTGAATAATGTGTTAGAAGCTCAGATTTCGGTCAGGGGCAAAGCCACAGTGCTCAGTGTTTACTACAGAGAAACCGAATGATCTATATGTCATGAATTTCCCCTTTCACATTGAATTGAATCAGGTGCCAAGTCACAGGGGTCTCTGGACATCCAGCAATATTGATGGCAACAAACCAGTGATCAACCAGTTACATTGAAGCATTCACACAGACCGCAAACTAGAAATTTAAAATGTTTTTCATTTTCAGTTAAACATTTTATCAACAATGCAGTGCATGTTTCAGATATTTACAGGGCATTAAGGTTGAAGTTGGAAAACCATAGAGCGTTCTAAAATAAAATTATTTTGAATGTCATGTCACAATTGAGAAATTTTATATTTTGTAACAATTAAATTGGTTTCCTCAGTTTCTAAGAGTTGTACATCAGTATTTATGAATTTAATATGCTGTTAAAAAGCCATAGACATCTCATTTGGCAAGTTGTAACATTTTCAAGAGTTTTTACTGTGATACATAACAGCATAAAAGTTCATTTCTTATCAATTCAATGATTTCTACTTGATTACAGTCAGCGGGAGCTTAAAAGCACACTCTGTGGAGAAATCTGGATTTTTACAATTAGTTGCATATTTTTGGACTCCAGGAGTTGCTGTCAGTTTCAGAGGAATGCTGGCAAGGAATGCTAACAATTTTGCTGCAAACTACAGGGCATTATTTCATTATTACTTTCCTGATTTTTCTTTTTCTTTTGCTCCCCATTTTGGATATCTTACTGTATCAGTAAAGCATAAATTGAGTACTTTTAGTAATTTTGAACATGATTTATAATTGAAATGTGTACCTTTTCTGTTTGCAGAAAAATTTGTGATCCAGGGCTCACTGCATTTGAACCTGAAGCACTGGGTAACTTGGTTGAAGGAATGGACTTCCACAGATTTTACTTTGAAAATGGTAAATAATGGGGTCCTTATTTCTAGCTTTGTAAGACATTCAATTTTGCTGTGTTTCATTAATAAATAAATGTGCATCTTTTTGTTTTAGCTTTGTCTAAGAACCACAAGCCAATTCATACCATTATATTGAACCCCCACGTCCATTTGATTGGAGACGATGCTGCCTGCATAGCATATATCCGCCTCACTCAATATATCGATGGCAGTAGCATGCCAAAAACCATGCAGACTGAGGAAACCAGAGTCTGGCATCGCCGTGATGGCAAGTGGCAAAATGTTCACTTCCACCGCTCAGGAGCCCCAACTGTACCTGTCAAGTAAGGTGAATTTCTACATTGGCAAAATACACACAAAAAAGATAATTATTACTTAACTGTGAAATGGGAAATTCTCTATTTACAGAAAAGCGTCTCTCATTTTTTAACGTTCCTATTGCAACTTTGGAATGCAAGTAGAATCAGTTTTTTTTAAAATCTAATGGGCAAACCAGAAAATTAATTTTCATTTTAGGAAATCAAATCTAATATTGATGGCATGGCTCAAAATTTTATTAAGTTATGCTCTATCCATTATGGCGAAATAAACAGAAGCATAGCACTTTTTTGGATTTAAAAAGAAATTGTCTCGTTAAGAATCTTTACAGGAACTTGAATGTAATATAATTCTTTACAGTTTACAAATTTAGGGGTAATTCATGGGGCAAAAGGATGAGGAGAGTCCAGGGCATGGGGGGGGGGGCAACAGATTGTGACATGTCACCGACTCATGTAGCAGTTAAAAGATAATCTGTTAATAGTCACCACATGATATCTTCAGTCTGTTTTAATTTCACTGACAGTTGTACACAGTACTGAAGTTTTAACTTCTAAATAGAATTTCTGCTCTGGTCACTTAGTCTTTGACGTAGACCTCAACATTGAATCATTTTCGAGCTTTTCCTGTTTTTGGCTTTATTGCAGACATTTCCCACAGGTGTAAAAATAACATTAATACAATTTCCCATTCGTTCAACTTGGTTTAAGATTCTATTCCTATCATGTCTATCAGTTGGAGTGTTTGGACATCACAGGATTTGGCATAATTATATGCAGACACTTCAGGAAGTGCTGCATTCTCTGACTTGCGGTTGAAATGAAAGACAATTGTACCTAATCTCTCTCTGACTTTGATGTGTATAAAAGGCATTCAGTGACGCTATTTGAAGAACTGCTGGGTAGTTCCACCATGGTGACTTGGTTGAGGTTTATCCATCTACCAATATCTTCAATTCTATTTAACAAAGAACTGCGGATGCCAGAGGCCTGAAATAAAAACAGAACTTACTGGAGAATCTCCGTGCATCTGGCAGTGTCTGTGAGGGGGGAAGAAGTAGATTTAAGGTTTCGAGTCCAATTCTGATGAAGAGTCACCGGACTCAAAATATTAACTCTGAGTTTTGAGTCTGGTGACTCCTCATCAGAACTGGAATTGAAATGTTAACCCTGCCGCCTTCCCACAGATGCTGATAAACCTGCTGAGTTTCTCCAGCAACTTCTGTTTTTCTTCAGTCTTATTGCTGTTTGAGACCCTGCTTTGCACATAGTGACTGTTTTCCATTTGTAGCAGTAGTAATTTTATATCAAAAATAATTAGTTAACTGTGAAATACCTTTCGGAAGACATGAAGGACTCACTTAAATTACAAGTTTGTCGTATGGTTTGCAATGTTATTTACTTACTTAACTCCATAACAAGTCTACCAAAATTATTTTTCATTTAAAAGAAGCCAAAAAAACCAGTATGGAAGCTTGACGTTTAAACATACTGTGATGAAGGGAAAGCTAATTGATTCATAATGAAAGGAAGAGAACTGCTGTGCCAAATCTAAACTTTAATAGGCTTTTAAAAAGCTTTCACCATGAGGGAACACAAGGGGACAATGGAAGTTAATTCCATTTGTACTTTTTTTTAATGTGCTTTTAGAGGGAAAGAAAATTCTGGAACTGTATGCTTTGCGATTACACAAGCTCAAGCAAATTTTTGAAGTTTAGGATTTGAATAGTCTTTTGTAGCTCAACTCCTGGCTGTGTCAGTGATAGTAGAAAATTGAATTTTATATCTGTTCTTCATTTTAGCTAAAAGAACTGGTGCCACTGCTGAATTGTCAGCACTCATTATGGATTGGAAGATCAAGATCACATTTTAGGCACTTCCAGTCTATTTTAACGCATGTTTCTGAATGCATGAAGCTCTGACAGTGCACTTGTGACATGTCCTTTGCTGTTTATACCATCCGTAAATTTTTGTTTACACTTCATGGGAAGAAATGTTGCAAGAAGAACGAAACCAAAGGAAGGAAAACTGTTGAAAGTAATTTTTAAGCCGTTATTTGCGCCAGGTTTCTTAACTTGTTATAATTATAAAAGTTTAAATAAAAATGTATTTTTTCTGAATTTCAAAAATTTTAAAAGCTACTGTACCCCCTCAATCTGTACAAGAATACATTGTAAGTGGCCCGTATTCATTTTGAGTCTAGAAATAGTTTTGTAATATATAAAGAAGGGGATGTCCTTAAAGTGGCAGGGCACTGTTACATGCAGTTCCAAAACTTGTTTTACAAGCTGGAATTATCTAGTCAGGGCTGGCTGTATCAGCCTAGCAAGCAACACCTATTACAGTAGCTGAACAGCCTTTTTTCATTTGTTTTTTTTTCAGGTGAAACATATGGGAAACTATCTTTTAAACAAAAAGCAAATTTTGATGTGCTAGTGCTACTGCTAGTCTTTTATTTGTTGTTTTCTTATGTGTCATCATCTAGGATTATTTTTAAGTTGATAATTCATTTTTACTCAGTTTGGGTGCAATATGTTTCAGAAGAATCAAGCTTGCTTTAATTATGGTGATGTGCAAATTGTGATTTCAGTCAAGTGCTTATTGCTTTGGTGAAAATAGTTTAGGGTTTTGTGGACTATGTTAATCTGCTTGTTTGTAGTTATCTATAGTATCAATTTAACAAAGAAACACAAGATCTTGGAATTTAAACACCAAATATAGTGGATCTGTGATGTACATGCAACATTTATTTAAGAACTTCCTTGCCTAGGCAGCTGATCAAACAAACTCAGATCATTTATGACTTTTTATTTTTCTCCTATGGACACGGGGATTGATGTTTTTAATGTCATCCGTGATAAATGGTTTATTAATACTTTGTGAACAGGATGATTTTCGCTTCTGCTTCAGTATATTTGTGAAGGTGTTCTTGTAAAAAAAAAACAACCAAGCTACCAGTTATGTCCTTTTTCCTTTAGAGCGAATATTCCCTCTTTTAAAATGCTTGTTTCTTCGCTGTTGTATACTTAGAGGGTTATACTCCAGTGCTGAATAGTGCATGTGATCTTAATTAATGTTTTCGGTGATTGTATGCAACCATCAGATTTCTCATTCAGTGGTCAAATCTCGGCAGAATTAATTTATTTATAATCTGTGTTTGTTAGTCGCCCACAAAATAATATGGTTAGCTGCTGTAACTAGTTAAATAGATGGCAATAAAGTCTACCCATTACATGGATTCAGAAATCGTGTTTAAATAAGCATGTATATTTATGGGCCATATTAATATGCCAATAAGATCTATGAAAAATAGGGAGTTTTTTTTCATTTTGTTTTATGGTGACTGGCTGTAGTAACTAAGTGTACTGAAATCTATATATGTTATTTTCAAATTTTAATACCACATGTGGTATTAAAGTAGTATTAAAGACCAAGTCTGTCTTCCACACCCAGATCTGAGGAATGGTGATTGGATTTTCCACCACAATTGAAATGATACTTAAGTTCTTTCATTCTGCAAAGCTGCTGTTTATCTTGGGACACAGTGTACAGAGTTCTTGCCATAATGGTAAATAATTGATACATTAAAACAAAATAAATTTGTGATTATTTCTCCTGACTGCCTGTTCTCTATGGTGTGTAATCCTTTGGTCTCAAAAATCAAAATGTTTGAACAATACATCAGAGATGAGGGCAGCATGGTGCTCAGTGGTTAGTGCTGCTGCCTCTCAGTACCAGGGACTTCGGTTTAACTCCAGCTTCGGGTGACTGTGCGGCGTTTGCGTGGGTTTCTGCTGGGTGCTGCGGTTTCTTCCCAGAGTCTAAAGATGTGCAAGTTACGTGGAATGCTGAATTGCTCCAAAGTGTCCAGAGATGTGTAGGATAGGTGGATTAGCCGCAGTAAATGTGAAGTGACAGGGATAGTGTGGGTTCTGGTTGGAATGCTGTTGGATGGTCAATGCAGACTTGATGGACTGAGTGGCCCCTTTCCACATTAGGGAATCGGTGATTCTATATCTTAGAACTCGAGTTTCTGTTTCAGATATGTAAGGTGGTTCTAAATGTTCTATGTACCTTACTGCATTTTAAGCTTTGCTTTTTTTGTCTATGATAAATTTGAGTACAGAGCAAAGCATAGTTTGCTGTGTAATAAAGATTATGGTTTTGTTTACGTCAAGTATTAATGTGAATGTTAATATCAGTCTTGACTCCGTAGCAGCACCCAGAACACCAGTCTCGACTCAGCAGTAAATCTCCAGAGTCTAGGTATGAATGTCATGGGTTCACACCTTACCCAAGGCAAGCACAAAATGGCAATTGATTGCTGTCTTAAGGAAATGCTGCATCAAGGAAAGTGTCCAATTGGAAGATGAGATGCTGTTTTTCAAACTTATTTTCAGAACAGTTCGGAGGCCAAGGTCAGAATGGGAGTGGCACGAAGAGAAAAAATGAGGTGGCCAGAAGTTAGATGCTGTGCTCACTGACTGGATGGAGATGTTCTATTAAGTAGATACTAAATCTGCATTTCCCAGATTGTGAGCAGTGAGTACATTATATTAAATTGAAAGAAGCATATCTGACTTGCTGTTTTGCCTGGAATCAGTATTTTGGAGCCTTGGATGGTGGAAAACAGAAGTAACCATGCAGATGTTGTATTTTATGCATTTGCATGGGATGGAGTGTGCAATTGAAATGTGACGAGTTGTCTTGAGGAGAACTGTCGCTTCAGAAGGAAGGAAAAGGGACGATGTGCTTGATAGCATCATGCAGGAACTGGCTAGAACTATGGAGGATGAGTTGTTGATTGTGGTAGCAGGTGGGATGCAACAAAGGTGGGAGAGCAATTGGTCCTTGCTTGAGAAAAGAAGGCAGCATATCAGAAGCATTGATCTAGAAGGTAGCATCATTGAGACAAATAACAGAGACTAAAAGTGGCAAAATGGAACTGCTAACCTATAGGATTGGGAGAAATTACAGTGAGGGTTAACATAGTAATCTGTGGGCTTATAGTGTAATTAATCAACATCTGATCTTCTGAAATGGAAACAGTGAAGAAAGAAAAGAGCTGGAAACGGATCATGAGAAGCCAAGGGGAGGTTGGGAAACTTATTTGGAATTCGAAATGTTGAAATCGGCTTACGTAAGTGCAGTTCAGTACAATAATAGGAAATGGTGCAGTCAGCAATATCATGGGAACAAGGGGAGGAAGGCAGCCTGAATGGGACTGAAAAAATGAATGTTCTACTTAAGCCACAAAAAGCAAGGTGTGGGTAAGCTCCATGTAGATTCCCAGAGCAATTCTTTCTATTTTAAGTGATTGGAATCAAAGGAGAAGTTGTTCCGTGTGAGAACACTTGGCCAGGAAAAGGCGGACAGTAGTGAATGGGGATTAACCATAAGAGCAGAAGTAGGGCCATCGAGCCTGCTCTGCCTTTCAATGTGATCGTGGCTGAACTGATAATCCTAGTTCTGGTTAAAAAATGGAGGCAGAGTAGGGCTCCTGTGCCAGAGCTTGTCGACTCATACCACTTTTTCTTTCTTTTCATGTTTTAAAAACTTTTTTAAACCTTGTCATCCGCTTGGATGACATTGGTGGCGGTGAGACCGCAGCGCACAGACCTCAAGTGGTCTCTAGCCAGGCCCGGGGTGTTAATCTCAGGCAGGACCACCACAGACTATGAGCAGGCAAGGGCGTGGAGAAGAGAGGGCCCAGTGTGGACTTCAAGTAAGCCCCATCTTATTTTTCTGAAGCAAGCACGTGACCTGGAATCAGCAGAGGCAATGTGGACAAGGTAGGTCCAGCGGGAAAAGGTGGCAGCTGAGGATCAGCAACTTCATTGTTGGCTGGGTCCAGTGCTGGCAGTGGTGTTGCCGTGATGCCCTTCCACCACCATCAATGAGATGGGTCCAGCGGTGGGAGACACCACACAGATATTAGAAACTCAATTTGGTTTCTGGAAAACCACATGATGCCTGTCTAATTTATAGACTAATTTGAGTACATCATTTTGGTCACAGATAGCAAGAAAATCTGCCGACTTTACCTTGTCTGGTCTACATGTGAATCCAGACCCACAGCAATGTGGTTGACACTTAATTGCCTTCTGAAGTGGCCTAATCCATTGTAGGGTCACCAATACCAGCCTTACCAGTAACAGCCTCATCCCATGCAAGAATGAGGGAAAAAACACAATGAATGGGAGTAACACTCGTGGAATGTTTCATGGAGTCTAATTTTTATCACATGGGTGGATAGCCTCAAGTGAACAGAAAGGTTGTAAATCCTTAGTATAGCCACTGTATCATGTTGTTCTTTGGATTTGATTACACTCTTTTACTGTATTAGCCCTTGAAAGGATTTTGATGGTATCCTCAAATTTAACCATATTCCCAGCAGGGTTGTTAAGGTAATTAATAATGAGTATGGGACCCGAGATCAATCCTTTGGCATGGCTCTAGGCTAAACGAGACTTTCACTAAAACTTTTCAGCTACACCAATGCAGACAATGTAGAATATGTATTCCAGAATTTGTCAAGTAACCTATCGTGAGGATATCTATTAAAGATTTTCTTGCTATCTGTGACTGAAATGATGTATTCAGAGTAGTCTATAAATTAGACAGGCATAATGTGGTTTTCCAGAAACCAAATTGTGAGTTTCTAATATCCTCTTTCCCAGCAATAACAATTGTAGAGATCTTCTCTTTGACAATTACTTCTAACATCTTCTGAAGAAGGTTTTTTTTTTTTTTTAAAAAAATGTGTAGTTTCCTGGCTCTGGAATTTGTCACCATTTATGAAAATTGGAGTTAGGCTGGCTCCCAGTTTCAGGTAGCCCCTGAACTTATTGAATCGTTTGAAGATATGGCCAAGTGTCCCCTTTCATCTAATCCTCCATATTTTTGAGAACTACAGCCCTATCAATGTTTAGCTTTCCCAACTTACCATGGCATTGCTAACAATTTTAATATAAGTAAGGGTACTAAATACAGGGCACCCCAATCTGGAACAAAAGTATCACCTATAAGGGTGTAGATTAATGTGGCATAGCCATAGTCTGAGAATCCGTTTGAATTGGTGGATTCTTATCAGCCCCTTAACATTGTGCTCTATGGAGAGAGATCTGGGGAATAACAAGAAGTCCAGCAATATCATTCTCAATGGCAGGAGCAACAAGTCACATTTTCCAACAGATTTCCAAAGATTTGGTCAAGATTCTAACTACCAAGCGACAAGAGGCTTATGAACCGGGGTTTTGCTTATTGTCACCGTCGATTCCACCAACATATCTATTGTTGGGCTGTTAGGGAAATGGAGGGACACAACACTGGTGTTTGTCAAAGGCAGCCTGGAATACAGAGGGCACGAGGAGGGTAGGGAATAGAAGGGAAATGGGATTATCAGATCAGCCATTATCTCATTGAGCGGTGGAGCAGACTCAATGGGCTGAATGGCCTATTTCTGCTCCTGCATCTTATGGTCACTAGTACCAATTCTTAGAGGTTTGTGCCCAGTATCCGGGAACTGCCATGACTCTTACACACTTCAGAACTCTTGTGACCATGTTGTATTGAGGGTCCATTTGTCTTTAAGACAGGTTACTGGGATGCAATGGCTACCCCCCTGTAAACAGTTGTGTGCCTGGCATTCAGAACAGCCATATATGTGGCAGTGTGTAATTGTATCTGTAAGGAAGTATCAGTTGGGTCACCTCTGTGCTGTGACTAGCATTAGAGTGGCACAGCAGCCACAAACCATTGAAACTGGAGGACAACACTAGCCCACTAACACTTGACAGGATTCAAAGGGGGCATAGGTGCCAAGAATGATGGCCTATTGTGGCTCTGATAAGTAGTCTAATCAGATAAGAGGGGCATCGGAGGAATGGGTAGGTAATTGATGAAGTGACTTCAATAGGATGTGAAAGCTTACTGGGGCTAACAGAGAGAAACTTGACAAAAAAAAATGACACTGCCAAACCGTGATAAAATTCAGCCCAATATGTTCTTGACTATCCTTCATTAGTTATCTAGAATTTCATAAATAAATACTCATCACATATGGGTCCAATATGAAAGCAATGGGATGAGTGGGTGCCGGGATTCCAGGAATGCTGATTTGCTTGCAACAAATGCTATTTTTGATGCTACATAAATATAAAAGCGACCAGGGCATTTCATTGGAGTGTTATCAATTTTTTAAAAATGCCACCAGGGTACATTTTGAAATGTTAGTTCTGATGACCTAAAACTTGTTCAAAAGGATGTATTCTATGGATTATCTTAAAGGTTGAAAGAGGCATAGGGAAGATGTTCCAGAGAGTCAAGGAAACAAAGACAGGAAACTAATGGTGGAATGACTATAATTAAGGATTCTCAATAGGCCAGAATTAGACCAGCACAAATATCTCTGAGGGTTGTGAAGAATACAGAGATAACAAGTGCTGAGGCAATGGAAAGATTTATAAAGGATGAGAATATCAAAATCAAGGATGAATTATGAAAATTGCAAACAGTTTGATTTAATCTCAGACACTCGGCAGCTAATGAGATAAAGTCGGTAGCTAGAGATTGGAGTTTGTCGCCGTATTTCAAAACAATGCCTTCAACTTTTCTAAT